CAGTCGCTGCGTCCTGATCCTCTCGGTCCCTCACCCACCGGACCGTCTTGTGGCATCACTGCCTTGGCAACCCGTCGATCCCCCGCCTCCGCGGGATGGCCACTCACGGGCTTGTTACTGGTCTCCCACGCACCTTTTCGTCGCTCCCCACCTCCCCTGCTCCCCCTTGCACTCCTTGCATCGCCGGCCGCTTACGCGCCACTCCCCACTCCTCTTCCCTTCGTCCGGCCACTGCTCCCTTCGAGACTTGGACGTCTGGGGCCCTGCCCCGACGCAGGGTTTTGGGAGGGAGCGTTACTTTCTGGTGGTCGTCGACGACTTCTCCAGGTACACCACAGTGTTCCCTCTCGCGAAGAAGCCCGAGGTGTCTGCCACGCTGATCAGGTGGCTTCTGGCCACTGAGGGCACTCGTGGTCGTCGCGTCAGTTGTCTACACTCAATCTTGTGGCGAGTTTCGCTCCGGCGTTCTTGCCGGATTCTGCAGCGAACAGGGCATCGTATAGTCCTGGACACTTCCGGAGTCCCCACAGCAGAATGGGGTTGCTGAGCGCCGCATTGGCTTGGTCACGGACATTGCTCGCACGTCCATGATCCATGCCCATGCGCCCAATTTTCTGTGGCCCTACGCGATTCGCTTCGGCGCACATCTACTGAACCTCCAGCCGCGTGTCTCACCGCCCGAGGCTTCACCGACCAGTCTTTGGACCGGGTCCCCTGGTGTTGGGTCGGTCTTTCGTGTCTGGGGCTGCCTTGCGCTTGTTCGTGACACCTCCGCGGACAAGCTCTCGGCACGCGCCGTCCCCTGTGTCTTCCTTGGTTTCCCTGTGGACTCTGCCAACTGGTCCTTTTACCACCCTTCCCTCCACCAGTTCCTAGACTCCCGTGACGTCCGGTTTGACGAGTCTGTGTCCTACTACACCCGGTACCCCTGTCAAGGTCTCCCGGTACCCCCTCCCCCCCTCTTCCTCGCACCCTCTCCTCCTCCTGCTCCCGCTCCTCCCTGGTCCTGCTCCGTCCGGTGTGTCCCACGCTACCCCTCTACCCTCAGTCGCGCGTCAGGTAGCGTCGCCCTCCCCGCAGTCCTCCTCACAGTCCCCTCAGCAGCCTTCGGCACTTCCGCGACAAGTTCCTGTGGACTCGGTTGGTGTTGGAGCTGGAGGTGCGGCTGCTGGCGGTGCCCGATCTGGGGGTGCTCGTTCAAGGGGTGCTGGAGCTGGAGGTGCTGGCGCAGGTGGCGCTAGCTCTGGGGGTGCTGGAGCTGGAGGTGCTGGCACTGGAGGTGCTAGTTCTGGGGGTGCTGGAGTTGGAGGTGGTGGCACTGGAGGTGCTAGTTCTGGGAGTGCCGGTGCTGGAGGCGCTGGCACTGGGGGTGCTGGGGCTGGGGGTGCTAGTGCTGGAGGCGCTGGCACTGGAGGTGCTGGTTCGGAGGAGCCTGGAGCTGGAGTGTGAGGATCTAGGATCGAGCTCAGAAAAGAGAGTTTGAATTGAATGATCCACCTGTGTACAACACGAGGCTATATATAGTCTCGACACAAGGCCAGTTAACCAGGTGTTACGCGAATGTTCCGAGGGTCGCGAAGCGTCCCGAACTGAACCTTCCCGAACTCAGTAGAAGGCAATTCGGTGGCAACCGAAAAGGCTTGAGTTCGGTACACGTAACCTGGTTCGGTGCTATAATGACAATAAAATATAGGAATGCACCTAACCTAGGAAATCAAGCATATCTATGCTTCATAAATAAAACCCAAGCTAGTAATAGCATAACAAAGTCTAGGCAAGCTAGCAAAGCCAGCATAAGCCGTCGTACTCTCACACGTCTCCCCCTCAAAGCTGGGTGGCGTGAGATGTTAGAAGGAAATGCTGCCATGAGCAACAAAATGTCTGCGCTGGGATTTGAACTCGTGACCTTCAAATCTGTCCTGAAAGTATCTCAGGACAGATTCAGGACAGTTTCTGCTAAGGCGCTGGTTATGGTGCACACGAGTTTCGAACTGGAGACCTTTCGATTCAAGTGTCCCGAAAATGTCTTGTTAGGACAGATTGGGGACAGTTTGGGGACAGATTGGGGACAGTTTGGCGAAATCGATCTCGGGTCGCGTTTGGTTTGAAACTCGGCAGCGAAGTGTCGAAGTCAACGGAATTTGCACGGGAGTTACAGTCGGTGGTCGATGGAATTCTTGTCGCGGAAATTCTCGTCTACGGAATTCCAGTAAATGGAATGTCAGATTATAATGCTTGTCTAGCCTGCAGTGGGGTACTCTGTAGTGAGTACGGCCCCTTAGGGTTTCCTATTTGTATCCCAACTGTTGCTAGTCAAACCATCCTTTGCTCATTTCTCTCTTGCCTAGTTAGGTAAACCCTAGCTATGGCTCCTGCTTATGCCTACTATTGTGACATGGTATCAGAGGGCGGCATGTCTGCCGCCTTCCTGTGTATGGGCCCACCACCTGCTTCCGCTGCCGTACTGTCCGCCGCGCGCCCCGTGGTGCGCGGCGCCGAAATTAGGTTTTCTGCCCGCCGCGCGCTCGGGGCGCGTGGCGGTTTACCCTTCCGTGGCGCCCGTCGTGGTGCCCTTGGGGGGCATGCGCGGTCCCCTCCCGTCGCCCGTCGAGGCGCTCTCGGGGGCTCGCGCGGCCTCCCCTCCCGTCGCCCGTCGAGGCGCTCTCGGGGGCCCGCGCGGCCTCCCCTCCCGTCGCCCGTCGTGGCGACCACGGGGGCCCGCGCGCGGTCCCCTTCCGTCGCCCGTCGAGGCGCTCTCGGGGACCCGCGCGGCCTCCCCTCCCGTCGCCCACGTGGCGACCACGGGGGCCCGCGCGCGGTCCCCTCCCGTCGCCCGTCGGGGCGCTCCCGGGGGCCTGCGCGGCTTCCCCTCCCGTCGCCCGTCGTGGCGACCGCGGGGGCCCGCGCGCGGTCCCCTCCCGTCGCCCGTCGAGGCGCTCTCGGGGGCCCGCGCGGCTCCCTTTCTCGTCGCCCGTCGGGGCGCCCTGGGGGCCGCGCTCCTCCCCCCTCCCTCCTACCTTTCACCTGCAGCGGCCGCCCCTGGAGCAGCCCGCACCTGCAGCAGCCGCCCCTGGAGCAGCCCGCACCTGCAGCAGCCGCCCCTGGAGCAGCCCGTGCCTGCAGCAGCCGCCCCAGGATCCGCGCGAGCCGCCCCTGCAGCAGCCCGCGGCCCGTCCCTGCAGCCCGTCCCGTCCCCTCCCCCCCCCGTGCTGCCCATTGCTCCCATTCCGCCGTGCATTCCGCGGTGGTGGGGGTGTGGGGTGGCGAGCATGGGGGTGACCAGTGTGGGTAACCTGCAGCTCCTCCTCCTCCTCCGTCTCCCACTGCTGCAGCTGCCGCTGAGGGGGGTGGGTGTGTGGGAGCCGAGGGTTTAGGGTTTAAGGGGGGTGACGTGGGAGTGGAGCTAGGGGTGCAGCAAGGGGTGTGTGAAAGGGGGTGGGACAGTTGGGGGAAGTTGAGCGGAGGCAGCAGTCGTGTCTCCAGCAGCGCCAGTAGTCCGGAGGCTACAATCTCCGGTAGTCGCCAATCGCCTGTGGGTCAGTTGCTCCTGTCAGGAGGCTACAATCTCCGCGGAGCCAGTTACTCCTGCAGTCCGGGCCATTGCTTCGGTAGCCACTGAGCCAGCCGCTCCTGTGTGTCTGCAGCTTCCACCGTCGCCTCCCATCTCCTCTCCTCTCACAGTCACTCCTCCTCCTCACTTGCCCTCTGCGACTGCCTCTAGCTTTACTTGTGCATGTGAACCTGCTCTATGATTGCTTGCTCTGCTGATTATACCCCACTTTGACTATGGGGGTGTGTCAGATTATAATGCTTGTCTAGCCTGGAGTGGGGTACTCTGTAGTGAGTACGACCCCTTAGGGTTTCCTATTTGTATCCCAACTGTTGCTAGTCAAACCATCCTTTGCTCATTTCTCTCTTGCCTAGCTAGGTAAACCCTAGCTATGGCTCCTGCTTATGCCTACTATTGTGACATGGAATTCGCTCGGCGAAATTCAAGGCTCCGAATTTCGCGTCGACGAAATTCAACGTGCGACCCGGGTCGACACTTTCTTGTGTGCTTTTATTTTGCATTGCGTCCTAGTATAAAACCAGAGAGCACAAACCAGAAATCAACCAAGTAATTACCACTGCTATATTTCTGTGTATCTCTGGCTATAGTGGACCGTTTCCTGCAATCTTTGGTGCGTTGGGATCGTGCTTCTGAGCTCTATAAAGCTGCTATAGTAGTGGAATTCTACATGGTATCAGAGCTGCGTTATCTGCGTTGATCCAACTAGCTGCTTGATTTCGTCCTCCCATCACTTCGTTCCCACGTTGGTGTGGCCGACGCTCGTTTTGACTGCGCATGGACTGGTTAACGAGCGCTGAGGGTCTGAATGCCTGTTAGGAGCTGGAGGCGTCCGTTCGTGAGCACCACCCTCACTTGCGTGATGAGGAGGTCGACCTCATTGTGGACGGCCGTCTACTACGCATGGTTCGGGAGCGCGCGGCGGAGCAAGCACCTGCGAGCGGCCAGCAAGGAGGAACTGTTGTAGGAGCTGTGCACGAAGCTCCAACTGCCGTAGGCATTGGCGGAGGAGCTGTTGCACCGACCATTGATGCGGGATTGATCGGGACGAGCTACGGTCAATTCAAGTTTGGAGTTGAACACATCTCCGTGACGCCGCTGCTGGAGGGAAGGCATGACCTTACCGCGTGGGTCAGCGCCATCCGACCCCAGCTCCAGTGTGCTGATTTGTGGCAGTTTTGCAACGGGACAGCACCAAGCCCGGCCCCGAACAACCCCTTGCAACAAAGGGAGTACGCAAAGGGCCAAATGCTTGCATTCATGGTGCTGAACCGATGTGTTTCTCCACCCATCCGAATGTCCATCTTTGGTTTCTCTCAGCAAGAGAAAGCCGGGCAGCTAGCATGGGCATATATCTTGTCTACTTATCAAGTTCATGATGCCCTCTACGCTTCCCTACTTCAGACCCAGTTAGACCAACTCAGGAAGGGAAATGATGAAACGGCGGAATCCTACTGCAATAGGGCCTGCACCATCCTACTGCAATAGGGCCTATACCATCCGAGTGGAGCTGCTGACCATTGGACAGGAGGTCCACATGGCCACGTTTGCCGCCCACGTGCTGAAGGGCCTACCACCGAAGTATGGATTTCTTCGCCGCAAGCTCGAAATCTCCAGCCCTGACATGACGGTGGAACGCGTGTGCAGCGAGGTGTTGATGGAGGAGCAGACTCTCTCCATCGAACAGAGTTACAAGCAGATCACTAGCGATGCATCTGCTTTCTCGGGCGCTGTCATCACCATCGTGGCTACAACGGGGGTCAACGGGAAGGAAGAAAAAGGGGGAAGGGAGCAGACGGACAAGATGAAAGATGGCAAGCGGGAGAAGAAGCGAGCCCCCTTCAAGGGGCGCTGCTACAACTGCAATGAGGAGGGGCACATGGCTGCCAAGTGCCCCAACAAGAAGAAATATACAACGCTCGCGGCAGCCTCGACCGTAGCTGAAGGAGACGGGAAGGGCGTGGCGCTCACTGTCACGTGTTTGGCTGCAAAGTTGCTGGCCGACGACAAGGACTTGTGGTTCCTTGACTCAGGATGCTCCCAATACATGACCGGCCGCAAGGAGTGGTACACGGTGATCCGTGACCCATCTGCAACGAAATCAGTCAAAGGGTTTGATGGTTCTATGCACGAAGTTGCTGGTGTTGGTAAGGTTTTGCTGGAGGGCACTAACGGCTTGCGTGTGACCCTACATGATGTCCTGTTTGTGCTAGGAATGAAGGCCAACTTGGTCTCCCCTGGGCAGCTCTTGGACAAGGGAGCAAAGCTGCAAACCGAGGAAGGTGTCATTCGCATTATTGCATCAAGAGGTCAAGTGGCTGCAACGGCATGATACCGCCATCGCCTTCACTGCCTTGACCTGAAACCGGGGCCAGCAAGGAACGGTGCAACAGCTGCAGCGGCATGCAACGGCACGGCGGCTGCATCGGCATGCACCGATATGGCGGGTGGAGCGGCGAGCAACGGCACAGGGGCTGCATCGGCATGCAACGGCACGGCGGCTGCAGCGGCATGCACCGATATGGCGGGTGGAGCGGCGAGCAACGGCACAGGGGCTGCATCGGCATGCAACGGTATGCCTAAGGCATTTGCTGAGGTGGTGTCAAGCGCGCCACAAGAGAATGACGAAGCAGCCAGCCTCACAACATATGCGGTGGGGACCGAGGCGATGCTTAACCTGCGGCACACTCACCTTGAGAATGACCATGCTGGTGCGGTGCAATGGACAGCCACAAACAGTGGTATGCTAGGCATGGACCTAGAGAAAGGAGGGGAGGACACGTCGAGTGCCTCCTCCCAAGAAGCCAAACTCACTCGTCAAACGCTTCCGCTGCCTGACGAGCGAGAGGGGGAGGTTCTTGGGATGGTCCATGGCCCTGAGCAGAATCAGCCGCAATCACATACCGTCATCATAATCCCAATGCCGTCTGTGCAAGGGGGCGAACAACCGTTTGATCGTTCAGTTGACCCTGCCGGCAGCAACGCAACCATGGCTCCGCCAGCTCTCTGTCCATCCTTAGCTGCTGGCTTGGCACCTGTGGGACCAGAGCTTGGTCCCTCTGCGAATGAACGTCGTGCAGCTGATGAAGACAAGGAAGGAGAGGCAACGGACCTGAAATCGGCGGCAACCCATGGGAAGGACCCCATACCCACGGTCCGCCCCTCCAGCCCACTCCTCCACTCCCATGTCATTCTAGCAGGTCCAACAAGGGTATGCCACCTGTACGGTTTCCCAAAGCAACCATGACAGCCTCGGATGCGGACGATGGCAACAACATGTACGACATGGCATTCCTTGCTGGAGGTGTTTATGGCACGGACATCTACTATGATGTGGAGTACTTGGATGAGGCTGATGAGGAGGAAGGGGGATTGGGGAGCGTCATCATCAACCTCGGAGTAACCTTGACCGGACCTGAAGGCAAGGTGGTGGACAAAGGTCTCCTCGTGGTAAAATACATGTCATCCACGGAAGGCTATCTTGGTCTGCAGATTGTGCGCGACCGCCCCAACAAGACACTCCTCCTGCACGAGAATGCATATGTGCGAAGATGCAGCAACGGTTCTTCAAGGGGGCGCCACCGAAGAAGCAACTGATCACCCCTCTCTCCTCTACCAGCTTTGTCATGGAGGATGCTGAGCTGTTTGCCGATCGCACCATGACCGACCGCCTTGCAGCAGGTGCACACCTCAGGACGGATGCGCATTGGCCTGAGCTCTTCCACACACTCTACTACTGGGCTGCCTCACCGGACAAGGGGCTGCTGTTCAAGGGAGGATCAGAGAGTCTGACTCTCGTGGGGTATGCGGATGCGGATGATGCAGGCGACAAGGAGAACTGGTCGTCCACGGGAGGCTACCTCTTCAAGCTTGGCGGAGCTGCCGTTTCATGGCAGGCCAAGAAGCTGCAGGGTGCGACCAAAGTTTCCTCCACTGACAGCGAGCTTGTGGCTACGGTCGAAGCGGGAAACGAGGAGCGCAAGCTAAGGTTCGTGCTGTGGGAGTTTCAGCTGCTCAAGAAGGGTGTCCCCACTACCCTATACGTCGACAACATGTCAGCGGTGCAGCTCAGCCAGGCGGGCGGGCTGCAGGGGCGCATGAAGCATGTGGACCGTCACCACATGTGGCTACACGACATGGTGCGCATGAAGAAGTTGGAGCTGAAGCACATCCCCACGACGGCGCAGGCCGCGGACTTCTTCACGAAGAGGCTCGACAAGGCAGCCTTCAACCGATGCTATGCAGCAGCAGGGCTGGTCCAGCGTGCTCCTGACAGCAAGGGGGCGTGTTAGAAGGAAATGCTGCCATGAGCAACAAAGTGTCTGCGCTGGGATTCGAACTCGTTGTTGGTGTAAGGGCCTAATCAACTCAAGCTATTAAGACTTTATCAAACTTAAAACCTCTCCTCGGGGTCACCTCCAAGGGTCCTTGGGTGCCTGGTACAAGACCAGCCCCTATCCTCGGGTCCGAGTTTGTAGAGAGAGGTATCAAGAGGGACTTAGTCAAAACAGCAAGAGTACCTTGAACGTCGCGCAACGTATTGTGCAGACCGTCGATCGGATTAAGCTGAGAATTTCCTATATCGAAGCTCGCTCCAAGAGCTTTAAAAAGAACCAAGTTGCCTCGTGAAAAGTTCTGCCATTACGAAGTTATGGCTCGGACAGCGTTTGCCTAGTGTTGGAGTGCTAGCGTACTAGCGTTGACTCGGATAGCATTCCGCCGTCCCACCGCGTAGAAATGAAATTCCAGGAACGGAAGAATTCGCTTGAATCAAATTGACTATATCCAGGTACAAACAAAGAAGGAATAAATAGTTCTAGCTAGCAAGGACCTTGGGAATAAACCTGGGAACAACCAGGGATGATCCCAAAAAACTCCAAGCAACAGAACCAACCTGGCTGGACAAAACAGCAGGTGGTAGGTTGGTAAACAACCTCTGGTTCTGTTTTTCCAACCTGAGAAAACAACAACCAGGTTCAGGTCCTAAAAATAGAACCTGTTTTGTCTTTGCCCAACCAGCCAAATGCTGGTTCCGCTGGTTTCCCCTGGCCCTGTAGCAAGCAGATACAGACAAACAACATCCAACCTTCACCTAAATTGTACCCCTATAGTGCCTGCCCTGCTACACTATAGTCAACCAAACAAAACAGTACAATTGCGAGTTGGATAGAACTGAATCTGCACAATCAATTCAACCGAACCGCAAAGCTTCCATCTTGGGTTCCTTTGCAAGCTCGTCCTTTCTGCTTGTACTGTTCATAGCGCGTACAATGTTGTGCCGAAGCGCACAATGCGCGAGTACCTGCAAATGCTTCAAGAAAAAATTGCGAAAGCAAACAAACATACGAACATTCCATTCACACCCAAATGCATTCGCACACGCATACTCGTACAAACAGACGGCAGGATGTCGTGCAATGTGAATTTGCACCCAACACTCATGACCTTCAAATCGGTCCTGAAAGTGTCTCAGGACAATTTCAGGACAGTTTCTGCTAAGGCGCTGGTTATGGTGCACACGAGTTTCGAACTGGAGACCTTTCGATTCAAGTGTCCCGAAAGTGTGTGGTTTGGATTGTATTGCATGTGTGGTTTGAGCGTGCGCAGGAATTGCGTTTTGGTGTGGTTTGGATTTTCTGAGTGTTTGTGAATATGATTTGGCCTAGGCAGATATCCGAAGTGACTCCTCTACTCAAGAGCTTTCCGGCGAACCAAGAATCGTTGCGATCGGAGCAAGAACGACGAAGTTATGTTCGTTCGAAGTTTTGATTGGGATGCGACGACTTTGGGAAGTTTGTTGAGTGACTCAATATGGGGTACAGACTTTTGGGGATTGGGAAATTCGTCCTTGTCACTGTAGTTGATGCCAAGTGGTTGGGAGAAGCCAAACCAGGTTGGCAAGTGTGGCCAAGTTGGGTGAGGTGGATGGCATGTGTTTGGAAAGGGACAAAGGTCAAAGTTGGGGTGCCTATAGGGAGGGAAATTGTGTGGTGTGGGGTTTCCTCTCTTGGGAACTCCTTGGGGACCTTCCCTCTCATCCTCCTTATCCCCTCCCACCTGGTTTCTAGCTATTCTAATCCTCTTGTGTGGAACTTGTGAGACAATTAATTGAGTTAAGTTTCTATGGCAGCTTACCCCCTATTGCGCCGAAATTCATAACTCAAGAAATACTTCCTATTTTTGTGCGATTCAAACTAGGAATTATTGCCACGGTCTAGGACTACAACAAATCTGAGTTTGGTGAAGTTTTAACGGTGAAGTTTTCGTCGACGAAATTCCTTGTAAAGTCGAGGTTTCTGTCCAGAGAATTAGTCCAACGATTTTGAGATATTTCGGCCCCTAAACGTTCTAGACTCCGTCCTTGGTCTCTAACAAGTGGTATCAGAGCTGATTCAGGACTTGGTGGAGAGTGTACTGAAGTGTGAAGACCCTCCTAGACCCACCATGGCCTATGGGCGTGCCTAAGTGGGGTTCTGGAGGGTGCATGTGACTTCCCCTAAAGGGAAACTCTGTCGAAATTTCATTGGCGCCGACACTTCGGTGTGGACAGCAAAGGGGGAGCTGGAACCTGTAATTGGGAGCAGAGGAAATGAGTCAAGGGAGTGGAGATGCCGCTGAGAAGAGAAGTGAGCCGCCACCATCCAAGATCGAGGCATTGGATGGCTCCAACTATGAGGAATGGAGCGGGCGGATGCGGAGTGCGTTTAAGCGCTACAAGCTGCTGAAAATTGCTATAGGAGAAGAGAAGATGCCGGTGGAAGGAGATGCCCGCGATCGATGGATTGAGAAAAGCGCGGTGCTGTACGACCTCATCCTCCAGTCGGTCAGCAATGACATGTTCCAGCACATCAAAGATTTGGTGGAGCTCGATGACTCGGAACTGAAGGCGTGGAAGCTACTTCTGGTTGTGATTCAGCCCGACACGCTGCCGATGGTGATTGTGCTGGAGAAGGAGCTGGCTGCCCTCTCCATGCGACCGGGAGATGATGTGAAGCCGGTCCTGGACAAGATTAAAGACACCTATGCGAGGATGGCAGCAGCGGGCAGCAACATGTCGCAGATGCAGCAGTGCACAAAGATCATCTCGGTGCTCGACAACTTGTAGAACCTCATCCCCACCCTCAACACTCAGCAGGACCAGTGGTGGCCTGAGAGACTACGGCAGCAGATTCTGCAGGAGGACTTCCGCAGGCGCCACACGGGAGGTGGTGCTGCCAATAAAACTGCTGAGGGGTATGGAGTTGCAGAAGGCAGCAGAGGAAGAGGGGGTGGGAGAGGCCGAGGCCGCGGGAGAGGCTTTGGCAGAGGGAGAGGCCGAGGTGACTATAATGAGGGGCATGGAGGCTCTGGAGGCAGGGGGAGCACCCGAATGGAGGGTGAGAGTTGGTACTGCAAAAAGGCTGGACACCCGTGGTTCAATTGTTTCAGCCGGCCTGAGGGATGGGCGCCTCCAGGCATGAAGTCGCCAAGTGGTGAACGTGCACGAGGTGGTGTTGTGCAAGGTTCAGGTGCACAAGGTGATGGTGCACAAGGTAAAGCCGACCCTGGGATGTTCCTCATGGTTCAGGATGTGAAAGAGAATGTGGATGATGAGCGGGCCAGATCCTGAGAAGTGGAAGCAGAGTGTGAAGGAGGAGTATTGTTGGTGCAACCCTACGGTTTGCACTCGGCTTGTTGTCCATGTGCATGCATGCGTGTGTGTGCATGGAGTGGCATGGAGGCATGAGATGATATAGATTTCATGCTTATAATAGTGTGTGTATGATGGGTCATGATGTCGAGTGTTTGTGTGTCGAGTCAATAGCGAGTTTTCGCTAGTTGCGTGTTACGCGGTCATTTGTGTGTCGCGCGCGATTTTAGTTTTTGTCGTGTGTCGAACGTTTGGCGTGTCGCAGGTGTGTGCAGCAGACCCATCAAGAACTCAAGGATGAGTTTGTGATGAAGAACCCGAGCCCAGGTGTCAACATTCAAGTGATCGCAAAGCCCGCGAAAAAAGGGTACACCTCAAGATATTGAAGATAGTTACATCACTTCCTCACTCTTCCTATTGTATGTTCTAAGACTATAGAGGCTGACATAGTGCCGTTTGTTCAAACCGACGCTGTGTTGTCATTAGTTGGTGAAATCGTGCAGTCTAAAATGCCTATTGTAGGCAATGTTACGACGCTCCAGATCCAGGTCGAATCAGGTCATTTGAAGCTATGACCAGAACGCTATGAACGTTTAAAGCCGCTGTGCAGAAATCCGACTGCGCACTCTATCTTTCGTTTTAGGCACATTGAAGCCTACTGTGACTATAACAAGCGGTATCAGAGCCCCTTGGAGCAGTTTCGACAATGGCTGGACCTGCGGAAAGGGGTGGCAGAGGTGTTGGTGGCAGTGGAGAAGCCCAAGCTCAAGGCCAACCCCGTGACTCAGCCATGGCGCCCGTGCAACCAAGTGTTGGCCCATCTAGGGATGAGCCTAGAGTGTTTGGCCTTGGCAAGTTCAACGGTGACAACTTTGCTGAGTGGTCCTTCAGAATGGAGAACGTATCTGACCACTATGACCTGCTGGAGGTGATGGAAGGAACGGAGAAGCGTCCCGAGAACGACCCG